GAGTTATGCAATTTATATTAAGTCATGGTAAAAAAGGAAAAAACATCCTTACACTACGCGAGTTAAAGTTAATGAGCTATATTTTTACAACCTCAGTACCTATGCATTGATGGTATAGCATCGCATTTAAAAGAAATTTACTTTAGTTTACCCAAGACTAAGCAATAAATAATCAAATTATTAAAACAATAAACATATCATATGTAACAGATAATATCTGTTTATATATTATATAAAAACCAATTTTAAATAATAATAATATTAATCTTTTTTTTGTTTTGTTTTTATATTTTACAAGTTTTACATAAATATACATTTTTATAATAAGTTAAATACGTAATGTAGTAAATCTAGTATCACTAGTATCACTAGATCAGTAGTTCCTAATCGGTGGTACGCAAAGACATTTTTTTAAGTAGGTAATATTTTTTTTTCACAATAATACTATTCAATAATAATTGGTTTATTTGATATTATTTATTTTTTTTATTAATATCTTTATAAATCTAAAATCAAATCTACATAAATCATAGACGGATCTAGAGGAAAGATCTGGGGAGAGGCAAAAATTTTTTTATATAGGTATTTTATTCATAATTTAAAATTTCTGTCATAATAATAGTTATAGATAATTAATGTGAAAAATTAATTAATGATTATTTAATATAATATAATATTTATAAATAAAATAATAAAATCTAAATGTCTATTTACATTTTCGTTTTTTCCGATAAATAATATATAAATATATTCACCTTGTATAATATATTATTAGAGGTATATGTGATTCCAAATATAGTAATATTAGGATCCGTAGAATTATAAAAATAATTTGAGAAATAATATGTCTGGGGAGGGCTCTAGGCCTCTCTTGGATCTGTTTCTGACATAAATCTTTATTAAAAAAAAAAAGGCATCTTGGCATTTTTTAATCTCGTCTTATTCATTAATGAAAATAAATTCTCCCTGGAGAAAGATTTAAATGCTGACATCTTGAAACACTTAGAAGCACTCTAGAATCAAAATAAATGTTTCATAATAATTTTTGAAGATTACTCAAAGAAAATTGGATTAGGAACTTTTCGTATGACCCTTCTGACAAAGAAATCTCAGAATACACGGAAAACAAAGATTCACTCATGTATATGATAAGTGGTAGCTGAATGAATGACGCATTTGAAGACTAATCGCTGATTTCATTTTGGACGTCAACAAAAATCAAATACCCATTTCTTTTCAACTAAGCATTACAATATTTAACCCCATTTGTCACTACTTATTTGTGTGAAAAATATTTTCTGAACTGTTGTACTAAAAAAAATAAGTAGATTTGATATTCGAAGTGATTTACGAGTGAAAATAAGCTCTAGTTAATTTGATATTGATGTTCTTGATTTACTTCAAAATTAAGATTTTTACTTTTATGGATATCAAACAATAATAAAATATATATTTAAAAAAAATTGATTCTCTTAATTTAGTTTTAGAATTATAGTGGTACGCGTGTTGATCATAAAAGTGACAAGTGGTACACATTACTCGGTGATGAAAAGAAACCCTTACACTAGATAGCATCACAGTCGCAAAATAGGTACCTACCTACTGATACAATTTTGTGACTGGTGTCCCACTCTTTCCTTGTTTATAACGTCCAGTTTTATGAAGTAGTTCCTTGTTAGAATATATCAATCATGAACATATTATTTTATTAAGAGAAGAAGAGTATAGTGTTTTATTGTGATAAGTGATAACTAATAAAAAAAATATTTGAAATTGATAATTATAAGCATTAATTTATTTTTGTTTTTTTCACAAAAAAAATATTAAGATACAATTTTTAAGCATTTTTTTTTTTTATTATTATTAAATCGTTCATAAAATCTATACGTAGAATACAAATCCAAGAGAAGATGTTTAATCCCATCGCTCACTCTAAAATATGCTCTATATGTGTGGCTGTATAACTACAATAAATCCAGTCTATGGCGTTTAAGCCGCATTAGAAAGTCACTAAAGAACTAATAACAACAATATATATATAATTAATTATTTAATTAATGCGATGTTTTCGAAAAAAAAATTCAATCTAGTACGTATTACTTATAGTACAACAAATTACTATAAGAATAATATAAAAATATCCTAATTAATATAGTCTTGACAGATTGCCCAGCTCAGAATCGTTTTCCGTTATGTATATTTAGTGAGTGATGAGCTGTTTAATGGCGAAGTAGACACTTACTAAAGATATTGTAGACCGAATTCCCTAATATTTTTCTTCTTAAATGATGAATTTATTTAAGTTTTGTTTCTTTGAAACTTTCAAATAAAGTCAAGGGCCATTTGCCATATTTATTATCAACAAAATATTCCTTTTTTTTGTGTCATTTATTTGTATTGTCTTGTAATGGTGTCAATTTCTTTACAGATTCTAAGCAAAGCGATTTGACAACGATGTTTTTATTTATTTATTTTTGTCTATTTATAAAATGAGTACCTAGTTAAAAAATGCTTAAATTTTTATATTCAAGGCTGGTTCTTAATATAAAATTAATTTAATATAACTTACTCACTTTTTTTATTATATTTAAAAACTTCATATGCTTTCTTATATAACACTTTATTTTGTATAATGTTATGAACAATTGTATTACTATTTATTCTTTAGGAATAAGTGATTAGTATAACAAATTATTTAAAAAAAAATATATTTTACAAATTATATAGATAGCAATAATATTTTATTATCATTTTACTTAAGTTTAAAATATCTAGATGATATTTATTTATTTTTTTTATCATGAATTGTGAATCGGATTATTCATCTTCTTTGACTCAAAGTTAGGTTAGGTTATTTTGTTAAATTTTTCAGGCCACATTGTATATATATATATGTGTGTGTGTGTGTATGTGTGTGTGTGTGTGCGTGTGTGTGTGTACTATTCGTGTATTTTCAATATATATTATTTTAAAACTAAGTAAAATAAAAACAAACTGTACCTATAGATACATACCTATTTTTACTACACGTAATAAACGTGTTTAAGTTTCTTTCTAATTTGCAAAAAAAATCGACGTTTACAATTTTTAAAAATATGGTAATAAACTCTTTACTCATATCGAGCAGATATGCAGACAGCCCTTTTTTCTGTAGGTATAGACGTATAGTCACCCCGCAAACACTGCACAGCCGCAAATCAGACCGGGTCAACTGGAATCATCGTCTTCCCCCAAATTTTGCTGTATTGATCGGAATATTATAGTGAATACATTGTACGTTCCGAGCCAATAAAGTAACAGCAACATCGAATTATTTACTTCAGCCCTTACATCTGTATCTACCTACTAACTAAATAGTAATTTTTTTAATATATAAAATAGACTATATATGTATTTTAACATCATATACATAACTATGATTATTATAATAGTATAATATAATTATGTGTATAATAAAATATAATATTCTTTTTATGTATTAATGATATGACAGTCTCTTAATTTTTCTGAGATAATCTCTATGACTATAAGATTATACTAACGCTATTTTTCATAAGTTATTTTGTTATTAGTAATTATTACCCTTAAAGTTGAAGATTAAAGATTTTTTTTCAACTACTTATCGTGTTTACTAATTCCAAAAAAGAAACCACATCAGTGTACAATTAATACATTGCTCTGTTCAAAATCTAAAATATTTTTTTTAGGAAGTATCTTATTGTTAATGATTAACGTTTTTGATTCCTGGAAATACATAATATATAATTTATGAAAATGACTATTTTTGTAGCATCTTCAAATGATATGGATACATCATACGCCACCTAACCACCAATAATTTTCAACTATATCTATATATTAATTTAAATTTTAAAATGTATTACAGATTATTTAAATGAATTATATCTATAGTAGAATGTTATCAAAATGATGCTATTTAATATTTAGACGTTTATCTATGTAATCAAACAAAATCATTGAAATTATAATAGATCTTTATCGGACTCCCGGCAGATTATTTATAATATAACAAATTATTATATAATATAACTATATGTTATTTTCAATAAATATTTAAGTCTGACTACGTACAACCAATATTTTTATGTAGACACCAAACAATATGAAATATATGTATAGCTGTAACAGTATATTTATGTCATTAGTTACTAGTTAGGTATTGATACAGTGTAAAAAGCTGATAAGTAGGTACTTAGTAGGTATGAAGAAAACTATAGACTACTCATTATTATATACTTTATCATCACATCAATATAGGTATGATAAATTATATTAAGAATATATATATATATATATATTTATAATATTTATAGAATTCCAATTTTTTACACTACGGATTTCAAGCTTTTAACAGTACCTACCCAACTAATAGACAATGACTAATATTAATATTATTATAATTTAAAAGATGAGTATTGAGTTTTATCGATTAAAGTAATATTAGTACCTTAAGTACCAAATCCCTGTAAATTATTTTTTATTTTTCACATAATTTAAAATATGATTAAAGCTTTATTTTTTTAACAGAAAATATTAATTAACATTATTATTTAGGTATTAGGTAATTTTTATAGCATATACTTACTTATTATATGGTATAATTAATAGTGCTTTTATACTTTGTACCATAAACTAAGGTATAATAAAATTAATTAAATTAAGTCGTGCTTTATAGTATCTAATTTGCCATGTTTGGTTATTGCCTTGTTGTTTGATCGTTGTCTATTTTCTTATTATCCTGCATAATATTATTGATTATTATACCTATTATATTCGGAATTTCGAGAAAAGCTAATATTATTCACGGCGTAATGTCGCGTGGGGAAAGTGTTTCACACGACATATTGTCTACAGTCCATCAATTACCATAAAGCAACATCAATAATTTCTGCGCACAGCATGACCCGGGTTGGAGAATCAGGGCACACACTGCGCAGTGTTCCTGGTCATACGTTTGAAATCCGATTGCTTGATGCCCTGATATTTTATATTTTTGATAAACAACATGGCGTCATTTATTGTCCGGTACTCATGACTGCAACAAGTCGTGTCCCGTTTTAACTTATTTTAGATCGTTGTTTGGTGTTTCGCGTTTGAAAAAAAAAAAAAAAAAAAAACGTGAGTTCAGGTTAATGTTACATATTTATTGGTTCGTTTTATCTTAGCAATTTTATTTTTAAATGGTGATCTGAGGGGTGTCAGATCAGTGTTTTTAAATGATTCAGAAATGAATGTCTGACTCCGGTATTGGGCCACACGTACCTACTACTTACTTAAATTATTTTTCTTTATTGCAACAATAATTTTTAAGTACTATGTTGAATAATACATCGAATTATTTAATTAATATTATTAATATCCCAAAACGTGTACTAGTTTTTAAAAATATTAAATTCTAATGATTGGTCGCATACGATATTTACTTATGTAGTATTGTACTCGCAAAATTAATTTTGTAATAATTTATAAAAGAGATTAAATAACTATAGCTACTTGGTTAAAATTTATTTAATAGTCGTCATGTGTTTTATCACATTTTTATTTTAGATTATTGTGTGCTATTTAAACTGACTTTGATTTGTGAGCGATACAAAACATTGGAGAATGCCTAAACGAGGAAAAGAGCCGAGACCATCGAGTCGTCATTCTGGTGGTCGTTTTTCACCACCATCACAACCACTACGGCAATCTAGAAATGATTATCCAATTGCAGGATCTTCACGTTCAACGTAAATATATTCAAAATACTCGTACCTTTTTTATTTAAATTTTTATTATTATTGCTTTAAGTATAGGTAATTTTATATATTTAACAACAATGTTTTATTAAAATTGTAGAATTAGTTTTATATTTATATTTGAACATAGTTATTAGCTAATTTTTTTATTGTCTTCTATTAATTAATATTATAGAATTGATAAAATATTCTAGTTGGGAAATTATCTAGTCCTAGAGATGTAGAATTTGTTATAACAAAATTTGTGTTGATATTTGTGATTTATTTATTTATTATTTATAATGAAATCTTAAGTCACAAGATGTAAGCATTATTTTTATATTTGAAGTGAACTTGTTTGGAATTTATAATGTATTGGTACATTTAAAAATATAGGTATAAATTAAATTCATAACTGTTAAGTGATAATATATTAAATATAATTTTGCATGTTTAGATAATATAAATTAATTTTATAGCAAAATTTATTTTGTTTAAGAAAACTTGAAAATTTTATTTATTACAAAAAACTATTTTTTACTTTATTTATAATACTAATATTTTTACAAATATTAGTTTTTTATATTTATAAATTTTTTAATCTGTTTTAAGTTTAAAATAACTAAAATTGATTGCTAGTATTAATTAATAGATGGTATGCAGTCATCTTAAGAAAATTTCAAATGTATTTGCTTGGTGTTATTTGTGTTTGAATTTGAAATATGTGTTCAATTACTTCATTACTTTGAATATAAACACAAATACTTTTTAAAAACATTCAAAATACTTTACTAGTACCTTTTTTTTAATTCAACAATTTTATTATTGAAGTATTAGCATGTTTATCACATAAAGATACCTATTAAACTTCTTTTTTAATATTTAAATTAAATGATTATTACATACTTTACAAAATAAATACAGCAATTTCAAATGTCACATATTATTATATAGTTGTTATTTAATGTGGTCTAGTTAAACTTTTTTTAGTTAGGTATAATAATCAGTTATTCTGTTATCTGATTATTTAATAACATTTTATTTATATTTAGCCCCAACATAGGCTAATATTTTAGAAGCAAAAGTTAACATAGTATAAAGTATTCAAACTTTTTCATCCCTTAGCTCCTTTTTGTCTTCACAATATTTTTCTCCCAAATTATTAATAGCATTTATATTTATACACATTCAACTAGTTGTGTGTATTTCATTATTGTTTCTATTATTACATTATTACATTAATTTTATTTTCCTGTCTTTTTGCTATGGCTCCTTTATCAACTCACACAATGCCTCTGGTAGCTGAGATACACAGTTTGAATACATTTGATATAGTAACTAAGACATAGTAGTATAATAATAAAACAAAACAAAAAAAAAACTTGTAGTATTTTGGAATAAAAATAAGAAGATAAAGTATTGAATTTGTCAAAAAGTATAACACTTAACAAGTCTGATGGCATGAAAGAGCTTGGATTTTGAAATTGCTTATTTATAATGCCATCATGAAATCATTATTATTTATGTGATATTTTTGAGACCAACATTATTCTAGTTTCCTTGAGATAACTTGAGATACTTTTGGATTGTCACTTGAACTAGTTGATTTGAGAGGGGGTATAACAAGTTTGAAATGTAAACATCAGGAGTGTTCCACTGCCACATCAGAGACCAGAGGAATATTGAGATCTTTGTGTAGAATCAAATTGATCAAAGATGAATTGCCCATGAGTACTCTACTCAACTCTGATTGCTTGGTATTGGGTATACTGTATAGTCTGTATAATACTGAATAAAATTAATTTAAAAAATATATAAACAACATATTTATATAATAATGCTTTTGCTAGTGATGTATCCATCATGTCCTGCTGGTAGTTAGGGACAAAGAAAATTGAAGTGTCAATATGGTAGTATAGTTGAAAAAAATAAACATTTTTTTTTTTTAAAGTTTTTTTGTTTTTTTTGTTATATTCAAAAAATGCTAATCATATGGATTTGAAATATTCCATTATAAGTTAAATTATAATTTTCTATATTCATAAAAATTTAAAATTATAATAATTATAATATAATAATTTAAAATAAAATTATAATCAAATCAGTATGACTTTTTAATAAAAAAATTCTATACTTATTTAAAAAAGAATTTCTCAAACATCTCTTTAGTAATGCTTGTACTCAATTTTCATAACTTGTAGTTTTTCTTTTGTTTAAGAAAATATGTACTACATATCTAGCATATACTTAAAGTTATTATATAATTGTTAATCAATAATTATAGGAATGCTGGTTTAGAACTAAATAAATTTTACTATAGTACATACATATAATTTTTATCAATTATATAAATTGTATATCATCTTAAAAATCAGTTTTTGGTTGTAAGAATTTAAACTAAAGATAAAATACTACTTCTGAATCAGTGTAATTTTTTTTTATTTAATATCATAATTCTTGTAAATTATTTTCAAAAGTTTTAGATTATTTAAAATCAAAAATATTTATTTTAATAATATTTATTTTTTGAAACCAATTTTTTTTTAAATATTTATTTTTATCTTTTATTTTGTTTAATATTATCAGTTGGATATTATTATCATTGTACTAAAGCACTAAGTCATAAAAATTGTGACAACAATTGTATAATTATGTTTTTAAAACCTGAGTTGAGTTTAATACAAACTAAAATTTTGTATTTTATGAAATTTGTAATAATTATTACTGAAATTTGTTAATTATTAAAAAGTTGTAGTAAAAAGTAGTTACTGATTGATATTTGTATAGGTGTGATTCTACTTCTGGAAGAAGATCACCTCATACCAAAGATAATATCAAAAAATCTAATGGAAACTTACATCCTGGAAATTCTTCTACTAACAGAATACATATGTTAGTAAATTATTTTAAACATTAAGGGGTTTTTTGTTTACACTAAACTTAATATTATGTGTCACTTTAGGAATGTAAATAGTAGTCCAATCATATTGACTGATGACGATGATGACGATGACAATGTTTATAAGAATTTAGATACTTCTGTGAATTTATTTCGAGAAAATGGAAATAAATCAAAACCTGACTCAGGCGAAGGTGCAAGTCTTGTGAAACATTACGTACCTTCTACTGATAGGTATGGATTATATATGATAATATTGTGTGTTAAATGAGTGTGTAATATCTTAAATTAAATGCTAAAATCATAAACAAAATATTAGTAAAATATTTTTTATAATCAAATGAACCATTATGAAATAAAAACCTAAATATTATGTTAATACTTAAACAATTTAAATTAAGTATCTAAAGTATAACGTAAAAAATCATACAAGTATCATATTTCATGCATCAGCACAGTAATCATTTTTATATATGATTGTTATTCATGTATGATGTATAGTAACTATTATTTAAATTTTGAACCCTACTAAAATTTAAGAAATTTCTAGGTTTACTGGAAAAATTATTTATTTTTTTTTAATTTGAGTACCTATGTAGATTGTGGATATACTTTATTTAATTTCCTATTCACCTAATCTAACATCTGAAAAAAAATATATTAATACATATTATATTTTATAATAAAAAAATACAATTTAAACAATAAAGTAAATTTTAAACATACTAAAATTTAGAGATTATGGAATATAATAATTTTGTTATTTTTAAATTATTCAATTTTGTATGGGTAGTTAATAATTTTTGGATAATTCTATAAACAATTTGGAGATATCTATTTATATAATATCAAATTTGCATTAAAAAATTAAAATTGCATTATAACAAATATTTTTGATGCTTATTTAATAACTTTTATATCAAAGTCTGTTTATAACTTCAGATAATTAATTTAATGAATAAAAAATAAATTAGAACCTCTGACTTAAGTATTTGTTATTTGTACTTATTATTATTCTACTATAGGTACTATATTTTAAAATTTAAATCTATGATTAATATCAAAATATCATTAATAACTTCTTAGGTGATCCTGTTTTAACATTATAAAATGGAGTCTGAATACCTAAACTATTGTACATGGACAAATTTTACTGAACCCACAAACTAAACTTATAATTAAATAATAGTCTACTTATTTAATCTTATTATTATTTAATTTTTTTATTGGATTTCATGAAATTAAATGTTAGAGTTAACATTAGTGAAGATAGATCAGATTTAAATAGAAATTACATTTTATTTTTTGATAAATATTGTATTTGTTAATCTTAACTTGAAGTTTAAGTGTTAGAAAATATTACATGACTCATTTAAATATGCAATAACTTTTATAGTTATTAGAGCTACAGAACTGAGTTTTTTCAAGTATAGTCTATTTATATTACAAATTTTCTAAGTTAATTTTTTTTGAATAAATAAATTGTTTATATTTAAGTAATTATAATGAGTACATGTTGAAAAGTTTGAATTACTGATATTTTTTAGATTTTATATTTATTTATTTATGTATAATAAATGGGATAAGCTTTTGTAAAATACAGTAGTGTAATGACAATAAAATTTATTATTATAGTATCGGTAATTAACGTGATATTATAAAAATTAATAAACGAATTTAAATACAATTATAAAATAATATTAACTTAATTAGATAAATAATAATAATAAATTTGCAATTTAATTAAAAATGAAATATTTGTATATTATAATTAAAAACACTATGTGATAAAGAAAAAGTCTATATAATCCATGATTTTATTAGTTAATGTTAATTATAAAAATATTGAAAAATATACAAAGGTTTTGAATGTTAAAATAATCAGAAATTGACTAATTTGTTCATATATTATAATACTTTTTTGAAAACCTTTTTGTTATTACGCTATATTAAAGTTAAAAGAACAAATACTGTGTTGTCTGTGATGTGTAAGCACAACATTGGTTATTTTAATATTTTATGGAAAACTAATTTGCTATTGGTGGCTTATATTAATGTAATTTTTACTGATGTCTTGATATAATAAGATATATAAGATGATAATTAATTTATTGAATCTTATTTTAATTGAAAATTTAAACTTGTAATCATGTGATATTTATACATTAAATTTAAGCATAAGAGTTTCTAGTTGTTAAATGGGGATAATGGTTTTTATTTCTTTTTAGTTCATGATAATATATACTTTTGAAGTAGTAAAAAATAATATTGTAATATATAAAAATATGTGTGTGATTATTATATTTATATATACATATTTATTAATAGATATCATTCATCACAAAATGCTCCTGAAAAACCAGTGTTTAGAGGACCAGAAACTGATGTATTGCATGGTATGGGAAATGACAAATTAAAAGTTATTCGAGTTCAAATGATACGATCATCTGATTCTCAACAAAATGATTCATTTCGTAAAGCTTATGTAGTTGAAGATTCAGTGGCTGGAAATAGATCAACAGGTAGGTGATATTTATGATAATAAAGGCATTTTTCAACTGCAAAAAGTTAATAAATAAATTTAATATTTTAATGTTTACACTCACAAAAAATTACAGTAAACTTTTTAAAATCCTTAATTAATGAATAACATTGGTTCTTTAAAAATAATGTTATTATTTTATAACTTAATATTTATTATCATTAAAATTATAACTTTAAAACAAAGAAAGTATGATTTATTGCATTTTTTTTAATTGATTTTTTTTTTTTGTTTTTAATATTCAAATTTTATTGCTTTATTACATTTTTTTTTTGCACTTATATTCAATCCAAATTTTTACATTAATTTTTTTGTGTTATTTTATAATTTAAATATTCTAAAAACAGTATACAATATATTGTAAAGATATAGATATGTGGTTAATCATGGCCTGTTAACCAAATCTATCATCATATTATAATAACTGCCCCGCAGAAATATTCTATATAGAGCTACATATTGTCTTGCACTTCATTATCTATTTAAATTATATTTCTTATGTATGTGAATTAAACTTTGGTTAATTGGTAATTTACAGACAACATGTCATTTTTTTTTATACTTGTCTCCATGCGCTTTGTTGCCTGTAAAAAATAAAACTTTTGTAGTTTTTAAAACTTATTTCTTCATTAACTGACATTGTTAACTTCTGACTGATCCGTGGATCAAGCAGTGGTTGCTTGTGCTATTACTTAGTTTTTACTTAGTGTTCTTTCTGACTTTCATTTTGCTCAGCTCCCGAGGATCATAGTATGATGTTCAGTAACTTATAACTTTCCATAATAATTGGGCTATCAAATGCAAAAAAAAAAAATGTTTAATTCAACTAATAATTCCAAAGGTTAGCGTGTTCAAATTTTTCAGTTTCATTATATTAGTACAGATTAAAATCAAGCCATTAAGGGAACAATACAAATATTATTGTTAAATATATTCTTACACAATACTCTATCTAATACCCTACTAATTTAAAGAATATTTTTAATTCTTTGGCCACAGAGAATTTATTTATTTTTTTGGCCTGCAGTATAAATATTTACCCACAATTTAAAAAATTGATTTATTATAATTTTTGATATATTACAGTATAAATAATTCATTAAATTAATTATCTTTGTTCCTTTCAGGAAATACTTTTTAGCTTAGAACCTAAATTTAATACTTTTGGTAAGAGATTACAATTGTTTTATTGTTAACAAAATGGAAAGTGGATTATTATTTTCTAATGCTGAAGTCACCCAAAATATTTAATTAGTTTATATGATATCAAGTATATTTTCTACAAACAAAATTCCATATTATAGTATGATGATTTATTACATTGCATTAAGTCTTCCAGATACACATGTTTAAAATATACTAATGTATATAAATATATACATTAATATATAAATGTATTTAAATTATGATAATTATATTTTGAAGTTTATATACTTTATTTAAAGTTAAGAGCCCTATTCAAGTTATTTCAGATATTACAATACACAGCTATTGATGAATACAAAAAGTAATGTGTACTATTAAAAAAAAACAAATTAATTTTTTTTTACCAGTTTTATTTAAATATAAATAATTATTCTTTAGTTATTTACAATAAAGAATAATCAAAGATTCAAAAAGTTTTATGTTGCATGAAAATGCATCTATATCTAAAGAAGAAATGCAAAGTGTATTGATAAAATAATTATTTTATTAATCTTTTATAATCTTAAATTTTTAATTGGTTTTTATATTTTTGTAATTTTTGTTAAGAAATCATATAATTTAAAATTAAACATTTAAAATAATTTTTATCAATATAATATAATTATAATTTATCACTTATTATTTGCAATGTACATTTTAATAGTAAATTACCTTTTTATTAATTAGTGTGAAATAACTTATATTTCTCATGTAAGTAATTTTTTAATTTAAATTGAATTATTTCATAATTATTTTTATATATCAATTCTAAATCAACTTGTTATTATTTATACATATTATATATTTTTTATAAAGAAATTTTGTTCAACACATACTTTTGATATTTAATTTAATTTTAAATTTCAAAGTTATAAATTATTTTTATGAATTGATTCTTAATATACATATTTATATCAATTATTTAAAAATTATTAAATCTAAATAAAAAATCATTTCTAAACAAAAATCTCAAGAAGACATTTACAACCTGTTTGTATGAATTTATAGTTTTAGTTTATTGCAGATCTTATTGAAATTTTATTTTATTGTGGACGAATGTGTATGAATACAAATAATTTTGTTTCCTTGAAGATCTTATTATTATTTCTATTGATGAAATATTGACAATAAAATACATGCTATAAAAAGACACAAATATACATAGTAAAAACCGTTGATATTTTCTTATGACACAAGTTTAATAATTGTAGACAAATAGGTTTGAACAATATAATTGCATTCATTAAGATTCCCCTATTCTATTTTTAATGATATAATTTATAATACTTTCAGTAAATATATTATGTTGAGACAATGATAATAATAAATAATACTTGATTGGGAAAGCAATAGGAACCAGATCCTAAAAATGTCGTTAATCCAATACTACAAATGAATATTCACTAAACATTATTAATTAAAAAAAAAAAAAAAAACATTTAGAAAACATTTATTAGTGACTAACATGCTTTTTCAATAAATAATTGTTTTTAGCTGCTCAGTGCTTTAGCGTCCATTTTGTATTCATTTCAAAATTTATCAGCATGATATTCTGTATAAAGATGATAGAAGTGATTGTCATTTGAGGAAATAATTTTTTTTTAAATAATTGGTTTCTTATATAATTCTTTTGAATAAATAAACAATTTATTTCCATTCGTTTTTTGATTTTTACAATTAAACTTTGAAAATTGGTCTTTTTAGTGCCTTATCCTATATATAAAAAAAACACTAAATCATATAATATGCTGAGCAATGGTGCAGATTGTCAATGGTCATTAACGATAATAATAATAATAATAAAAATTCCAATTGATTAATAATCATTATTATATTTTCATTAAGATTATATTTTATTATACTTTTGGTAGTTATTTTTATTAATAAATGTTTATTTTAATAGTTCAATGATTCTCTTATAAGTTAACAAATGTATACATAATTATTTATTTATGTTAGTTTAATTATAGCATGTTTGAAATTAGTCATATTAAATTATAAATTATGGTTAAGTTAATAAAAATAATAGATAGTTTAATAGATAAAAATAATAACATTTAGATTGAAAAAAAGTTTCTTTAAGAGAATTATGAAGTATATAAAATATTTATAAATTAATTGATTATAAAATAATTATTAATAAATAAAATATAGCTATCTATACCTACATTTATTTTATTTTATATATCTTTAAAAATTATTAAGTTGAAGTTAAGTGGAAATCAAGTAAAAACACTATAAAATATTGTAAGTTGTACCAAAAGTACATTTAAAAAGTTAATTAACCAGTTTAAATGTTTTTTTAAGTTTTATTTATTTTTATTTTATAATACACCATTAGTAAATAGTACAACTATTTTAGTTTGCATTGACATATAGAATATGCAACTATATTTAAATTAATATAATCAATACTTATTTAATTTATAGTTATTTATTTCAAAGGTCCATAACTGTTCTATGATAATTAAAAATCACAGTTTACTTTTAATGGTGTGTTTTTATAAATTTTAAATTAATTTAATAAATAAATAAAAATTTTATTATCATAATAACTAATTGTTAAGAACTAGTATTATATTTATTTTTTATCATGTTAAATATCTTGTGTAACAATTAGTTTTATATTTATTTTTTTAACCAATTAGAATAATTAAATAATTGTAGTTTATATCAATGTTTTAACAAAATTAACTATTTTTTATTACTTGAAATAAATACATTTTTGTTAATTTTATTAAATAGTGTATATTGCAGCGGTTTCCAAACTGTGAGGTGTAACTCCTGGGAGGTACAAGCACTTAATAGGGGAAGGAAGATTTAAATATTGATATTTATAAATACACTTATAAAAAAATTTTGTTTTATTTAAGAAGGGAAGCATGGCATTCTTTTATTTTTTGGGGATGTGTGAACCAAAACAGTTTGGGAACCACTGGTATATTGTAAAGTTTTGAAAAGAGTATTTTCATTTTATTATTTATTTTTACTAATATTTTATGTTACCTGATTGTTTCTATCATTTTCAAATTTCAAAGTATTAGTTAATATAATTATAATAACATTTCTAAATAGCTTAATGTATTAGTGGAAGAAAATAATTTGAAAATGTTTCAAATATGTTGATTTTATTCTTTTAATTATATGAATTGTAATTTTTCATCAAAATTTCCAAATGTTTTAATCAGTTAAACTGAAAAATATAATATTACTATAATCAAATTTAGTTAATTTTATAAATTTATAAAAAATTAAATTTATATTGATACCATTTTTATTTAATTGCAAATAACAGTCTATAATAAAATATGAAAATTAATTTAAAACTAATTCTAAGTATTTGTTAAAAAAATAATATTTAATGAATGTTTCATCTCAAAATATCAATAATTTATTTTGTATTTACATTTGTACATTACTTAAATATTAGATTATTATTTTATCAAATATTTATTAAATGTATGAGAATATATGAGTATTATTTTTCACTGTATTATAATCGGTTGTTGCTAACTTTTCATAATATAACTCATACATGAAATATATACTCATAAAAAAAAAATATATATATGAAATTCTCAATAATAATGTAATACCTATTATGTAATTGTGATTGATAATAGTTCTTACTCATAGATACATAATTTTTTTTCGAATTAACATCTGATTAATTTAAATTATTTACTTGGTTACCTATTTTCATATGAATATTTGTATTTAAATTTTTAAGTTATTACTAATTAGTATTCTATTTAAAATTATTTGCCTTAATTCATTAATTATCATGTATATTTATTTTATAACTATAATATTATATATTATATCAATCTATAATAATCTAGGAAATATTTCTGTTATTTGGCATGCACCATAAAATTCATAATGTGTTGATTGTTGTCAATAAATTACTATTCAATCGAGATAATTATAGCCACAATTGTTTTATTTAATATATTTCTTAAAGATGGAATTTTGAAAATTGAGGTAAGACAATTTGCACCTTTGGTTTAGTGAAAATTATTTGGCTAATAAATTAGTAAGACATAATGAAACTGTCTTAAGGTTTAACTATATAATTTTTAATTATGTTACTAGTATAGTTTGATATCATCTTTTTCATTTTAGGTCATGACTTGTTATATATATATAATTTTTTTTAGATTCTGAGCGGAGTGATGAATTAATTGATTTTACAATTTATTTTTATTTTGACGTGTATACACATAAGTAGTTAAAAAAATGCATCAAAACTTTGAAAGTAGTTCCTGATAATAAAAAAAAATGGATTTGTACTTTAGACAGGTCTAAGGTCTTTTTTCAAAATATTTATTAATTTTAAGATATTACCTATTTATATTCTGTTCTAAGGTATTGTGTATTGACTAAAAAGTTAATAACAATAATATGATAAATCCAATGCTTTTGTCAATAATTAAAAAAAACCTAATGTAATATTAATGTTAAAATTAATTTAATAATTTTTTGTAAAGAAAAAAATATGATAATAATAATATACTTAATTTTTTTTTTTTGCATATGGCGCTTATGTCCGGGAGTAGGCCCGAAAGCCTAGTTCAGACGCACCTGTAGGTTTCTGCCATGCCCGGGTGGGGGGCGGCGGCTTCTCTCTTCAGACACCGTAACTGCCTGAAGAGTGACGCCACCCATGTCCAAGATTCGAACCGGTGACGGTGCGCGACGCAACCGACGTCTTAATACGCTCGGCCACTTCATAATGATATAGCCTGACAAACTGTCTCCGCTCAGAATTATTTTTTGTACATAATGATTCATTGATATATCATTGAATTCAAATTTAACATACCTATAATAGTAACCCACACACATAGGCGTATATTTAATTGAATTTTAGGGGAGGGGCTTAAATCTTTCTTTGCATTGTTACAAAATTGAATTGGTTCAATAATTTGGGGAGGCCAAACCCTCCAATCTCCGCTTATGCCCACACTACACTTTCAGTTGAGTGGTACCTGCTAGTCTACATTTTTTAATTAATTTCATTTTTTTAGCCAGCTAGGTTCTCTATTGTATATAGGTAATCAATAAATTTCAGATTTGCTCTAATAGTTTTTGCTAATATTTGTGTTGCCACAAATGTTGTAAAAAATTATAAATTAAACACTTATTCGCAAAATTTAATGGCACAAAATTTTCACTATTTTATTATAAGTAAATAATAAATTTACAATAATTTAGAAATTTTTATTTAATTTGGAATCATAGATAATAATCATCAAGATTTTGAAGAACGGCAAGTTCATTTCAATCAAAATAATCAACAGATACTTTATGATAATGGTATGTCAGAATAATTTGGCATTAAATAAACAATTTTTTTTTTAAAAATTTTATAATTTGTGTTTGGATTTTTATGGTGAACATTTATATTTTAGATAAGAATTATGGAATAATTCATCCTTTGAGTCCAACCAGATTAATGTCTCGTGATCAAAGTTTATCCCCACTTGTTAATATGGTTCGTCCGCCATCTCCTCCATTACCTTATTCTCCTGAATGTGATCATTTCAATTCTGACAACAATATGTTACGCAGAGATAGATCAAAGCACTCTCCAGAAAGAAATCTTCATGATCGTCCACCAAGGACAGAACATTTTTTGGAACAGTAAATAATTGCACCTTGATTAATATTGCATGCTTGTGAAATTTACATTTATGATATTTTTTAGACTTAAGATGGAAAACTTTTCTTCTGGCCCTCCTCCAGAACCTAGATCACCAGAAATGCAACGTTTTAGACCAGGTGATCACAATAGACATCGTATGAAGGATGACCCGATTCATTATGAAGAACGTCCCAGACATAGTGGATCTCCTGTATATTTTGAGAATCATTATCAGTACAACAGAAGTATGTCACCTAATAACAGACCATTTTCTCCTAATCATGAACAACAATTACCAATTACTCCACCGTCATTACGTGAGCTTTCTTCACCTTTGAGAGATCGTCCACCACACCCCAATGAGCGTCCTCGAAGAAGACGCACACCACCACCTAGACGGGATCGTTCAAGAGAAAGACGACGTCGCATTTCACCTAGAAGAAGAACACCACCACCTGTTCGTTCACCTATGAAGCGTAGAGGTTAGTATACAGTTAGTAAAAATGGTAATCATAGTTCATTCAATTTTTAAAAATGTATTAATAATTTTTTTTTATTCTTATTCTATGTTAACTATTTATAATGTATATACTGTAGGTGAGTTTAACCATTAGTTATAAATACTAGTATTTATAATTAATGATATAAGATAAATGCCAATCCGTTTTAGTTATACCATTAAATTTACTCGTTAATCATAAATATCTTCATGAATTGGATAAAAATAAAATGATTCTATTTGTCGGATTCTAATTTGCAATTGTATAAGTGGTAGAACCATAGAACTGATATAATTTATCTTTTTATGAATTTTACATTTTTAATTTAATTAATAATTTTATAAATATATTAAAATATTATCAATTCCACTAATTTTTAATGTTGTGTACTGTGTTGTATTATTAGAGAATGGTAAAAAACGAGGGCCTAATAAAAATCTGGAAGCACGAAAACGAGAAGCCAAAGAAAGAAAAAGACGATCTCAATCCAAACCAAAACCTGCAGCACAACAAGTAATTATACTTTAAAATAGTAATTGTTTAAATGAATTTATACTATATTTTTTAGGAACATCAGCAACAAAATTCATTCCAGCAACCTCCACCACAGCCTATGTATCCGCCACCACCCCCACCTGGAGTTGTTCGAATGCCACCGAGACCTTTCCCTCCAGGACCCATGATGATTCCATTACGACCACCTCCCCCCTTTCCACCACCAATGGGAGCATGGAGGCCACCACGTCCACCAATGCAAGCGCCTCCTTCTGGTTGGCCATATCCACGTAAGTTTCATAACTCAATAACTATTTATTTATAATAAACCATATCCTTTTAAATGTCTCATCAAAATAATAGGTAGATTTTGAAGTTAAAATATGCAATAAATAAGAGTATCTAGCTGATATATATATGGTAGATTGCAGAAGTCTTCTTCATTATAGTTTACTTAAAATTTATGAATTATGGTCCTTAAAGTGTATTATAATATTTTTGTGCAACATAGCACTTCTCTAACATTAACTATGATAAACAATGAAGATTTTAACAGTTGGTTAATAGATTTTTAATTATTATCACTAAATTTCTGAACGTCATTGGTATTGCGTTAGCGTAATAAATAAATCAAAGTTTTTTTCTTGTATATAGTTTTCAGTAAAAGCTCATAAGTCAACGTTTTATTTAACATACTATTGTAATTTATTATTGATTAAATTGAGTGAAACAAATTTAGAAGTAATTGATGAGACATATCTCACTTGATACCATTAAAATAGAAAAAAATTTAGTGTTGTGCATAGGAATTTCATCATTATCATCATCATCATGCAGCTGCACAACTCTTGGTAATTTTAGCTGCTATTCTCAAAGATCTTTAATCATGGCCCTATATTCTTTCTATCCAATCAATTACTTTCAATCTCTCTAGATCTTATCATATTTCATCCATTAATTTTTTCCTTGGTCTGCTTCTTAGTCTTCTTCTTGTTGATTACCATTCAAATGATGTTCCAACTTCATTAGTTTTTTCTTTTTTCATTTGGTTTTGATCACATCCTAAACTATTAGATTCTCTTTTCTTTTACACTAATTTTTAATCAAAGTACTCAGTACTCAGTTTTTCTCATTTCCACATTTATTTTTTTATAACACATATTTAGTATGTTATAAATTTGATTGTATACTGTACTAGGTACTTTATTATCAAAGTTTCTTAGTTTTTGTTCAATTTTCATTTCAATACTCAACATCCATAAATTGATGTTAATCTTACAATAGCCATATATAATTCATAGATGTATTTCTATTCCTATGAATCTTTGATTTGAAGTAATTAATTGGTGTAAAAAATACCTTTTCCTTTTTTAGTAGCCAACTGATTATATCAGTGCTCAAGTTACTATCCTAATTACTTGAAACATTATACTTCCTCAAACACATAATCCTCCACCGTTAGCTTTTCTATTACTTTTATTTTTTCTTCATTTAGTTTCTATAAATTTTTTTTTGTTTCATGGATGAATGTTAATAATTTATAGTTACTATAATTTTCTTATTTTCTCCAACTAGTTTCAGATCATCTAAAACTTCCAACATCCAAAAATATGGTTTTGCTAATATTACTGCAAGTCTGTTACTTTCTATATTAAACATAACTTTTTCAAATGCTATCAATATTTATAACAATGTATCACCTTGTTTAGCTCAATCATAACTTGTAACTCATCAGATACTATACAGTCCTCTCTTACTTGATATTTGGCTTGTCCATACACATTTTTGTCAGTAAAATAATTTTAAAAAAACCAAACTTTTGTCATATACTTTTATACTTTTTTTGTTTTCTTAGACATGTATCAGTGTTTGATAAATCACAACTAAAAAATCATAGGGTTTAAGTATTTAAATTATATTTGAAATGAATTGTTAATAAATGAGAAAAAAGTTTAAATAATATATTTTATGTACCTTTTTATTTTTTACAAAATTATATAAAATACTAATAACTTTTATTAAACTGAAAATAATTTTAATTATCCAAACTGTAATATATGCTATTTATCTGTATAATAATTAATAATTTTAATTTTAAATTATTATTTTTCATAATTCTTTGGCTTATTAGTTATTTAACTTTTCTTTAGTAACTAATTTGTTTTTATATTTGGTGGTACTTATTTGTTATCACCCCGTCACCAGGTAATCATTTGTTGTACCTTAATATATTTTATAACACTACAAAACTTTCAAATAATGGTAAATAATTATTATAATAAATTAGTAAACAACTAATAATTCATAGTAACATGTAAAAAATAAGATAGTTTTATAAATATTCTTAAATGTCACACATTTTATTCATTCTAACAACAATTTTTGTTGTAAAAATTGAATACCAATATTAAATATTGCAAGAAATAATTCATTTTTAACAATGTTTTAAAATAAGTGTGAACTTGAAATTACAACTATGTGCAATATAGTGACAAGCCAAAAACATACCAACATTATTAACATAATTAAGTATAATTTTAAATATCTTTTTCCTTAAATATAATATGACATACCAAATAACCTAAGTATAAGATATTGTAAAAATGCAAATATATTGATTATGAATATCAATATTTTAGATTTTAAATTCAAGACTGTTGACATAAGATCACCTAGTAGCAGGGTAATACATGTTATATAGGTTGGTGACAAAGCGATAACAAATAAGTAGCTATTTGACTTAGTGCTGATTATAGTTAGGATGTACAGTTTTTTTTTTAATCTAATTGATTTTCAACGTCAAATACATTTAATTATATTTACTTTTATTTGATGAAGCATTGTTAGTATAACACTATCACTAATACCAATGATGACTTACATTTTGTTAAAAGATATAGCACTTTATATTTTCATATAAAATCTTAAACTTTAAAAGGATAATTTATTTATAAATTAATTTATCATTTTAATAGTTTTTTTTTATTGCTTAAATTCTAGTAAAAGGTTTATATTAATACTTAATTATACTTGCATGTTAATTTTATCATCATTACATTCCTAATATATAAATAAATATTATTTAACTGTTTTTACAATTTATCTATTATCTTGGTAGAGAATGTCATACGAATATGTATATTAAATTCTTTTATAGTTCGATGAAAAAATATATATTAAGCATGCTAATAATATTCTTTTATTCATATTTTTTTTTAGAAGTAAATTAAAATTCATCGGTTTGAATATTATATTTATAGTCGAAAATATATTATGTATAGTGTTTAAAAAAAAAAATCTATAAATAAATAATAAAACTATTTTTTTAAATCTTATAAAAATATTTAAAATAATTTATTATGGGACTTTTCCACATACTTTTACATTTCTATATACAAATTTTATAATTTTAAATTCTTTTTTTTTTTTTACTTGTTCTTATGATAAAAAAATGTATCAAAAGAGTATGACTATTTTGTACACAAATTTTCCCATTGGGACTTGATCGTGGTTGTGGTGGGTCAGACTAGTTTGAATTTCTACAAAATTATATTCGTGTACAAATAGTTAGTCATTGTATGTTAAATGAAAGTCGAAAATTCATTTCAATATTTTGAAAATTATTTTTTAATTGTTGGGTTATTTTGATATATTTTTATTTTTATCTTTGTGTTTTATTTGTTAAATTAGTTATGTATAATTTTCTATTTTTTAATTTATGTTTGTTCTATTTCCATTTTGACAAATTAATGGTAAATATGAGATTAAAATTAATAATCGATTAAATTCCATCAACTTAATATAACTAGTAATTCCTAGGCTTAATATTGATTGATTAAATATGCTTCACCAACAAAAACATGATATTGCAGTTAACTGGCATACATTTACAGGCTGTGTTTACAAATATTTATCTTTGATTAATGTTAAAACTTAATAAAAAAAACTTAAGCTTACTAAATCAGATTATGTTATTAGTTTTACTATTTATATTTATTATGTCAACTTTTAACAAACACTATTGTGAACACGGTCTTATTTTTAGTTATTAGGTTTAATTTAATACTATTTACAACACCCAGCCAAGTTAATCACTAATGTAAAAATATGCTAGTGATAAAACAAAGTGTGTAAACATATTTTGGCTGTACATTTCATTTCTTCTAGTTTTGAATGTTATTTTAATATTTTAAATATTTTTACAGGCCCAAGGCCATTCTACTTCCCCTACTAAATGGAGTGGCTACGAATATTTAGATTTTAATATTTTTTAACTGTGTGTATTTCAAACAATTTTGAGTTCAATAATAAAACAATTCCCAGATAATTAATGTTTTAATAATACTTAAAATCATACTTCTATTGATATTAAATTATTTATAATTATAATAACTATGTTTTAATCTTACATACTCAATATTTATTTAAACTTTTATTATTATACTTATTATTGTGATCTTAAAAACAAAAATTAATAATCAAATTAAATATTTCAGTTAAAAGAGCTGAAAATTAGATTTACAGTTACTTTTTAATTGTATTTCAATTGAAATTACTTAATTTTAGCAAACGTATTTGTTATTTAATAATTTCACAAAAATAGAGTGATGTGATTAAATTATATGAATGTATAATTAAAAGATTCATCATTAATTTTGTGATATAAAATTAAATTAACAGTATATGTGTTATATGTGTGTGACATTATTATATAGAACATTAATAAACAAAAAAAAATACCAAGTTTAGTATTTTAAAATTTTACAGAATCTAATGTGTATAAGTCTCTAAAATAATATATTTATTATGTTTTCAAAAATGTTAGCATGACATCCAATTATTATATTTGTAAGTTAGATAAATAAGTTGATAAAAATCTTAAACTATTATTAAATTTAAATTCACACGTGTAAATCAATTTCTTTTTCAATAGAATCATTAAAAAATGAAAACATTTTTCTGGAAATGAATTTTAATTATTTAAGTAAAAATATAAATATTTTTTAATTTAATAAGAATTATTTAAAAAAAAGAATATATTACATTAAATTTGAATATTGTCGTACCCAACCATTAAATTTGTTTTTCAATACTTGATGTAATATTATTTAGTAAACTAGTAAACATAAATTATTTGTATTATTATAATATATTATATAAACAGGATTATTCAATTAAAATTACAATAATTGGCTTATTAAAGTAGATTAAGAAATTTTCAATGGAGTTTTCTTCATTGGTTTAGTATTCAATTTGAGTGATCCTATTTATATTTTGACAAATATTTATGCTGTTTTAATTGTTAATACAATTTATTCTGCATGATTTAAACTTATTTTACTTGTAAGTTAAATAGATAATTTCTTTATTAATAAATGTTAACTTGTGTGAAATTAGGTAACTCTTGTTTGATTGCTGCAGTATCACAAATATCTTAAATATTAACCAAAACGTCTTAAATAGCACAAAATATATATTTTCATTCACGTGCAAAATCAAATTTTAAAATCATCACATCACAATTCGAGTTTAAAAGTTAATTATTCATTATTATTGTAGATATAAATGTATCACCTAAGACATAAATGTTGACATCATCGACACCGAGAACAATTATTACGTCATGATTTAGTCTCGGTGTCATGAGGCATATACTGCCATAAATAAATGTTAAAATGGCTTTTGAGTAACAGAGAAGATCGGTATCCATAGATGGTCAACAAAATAAGATGTTTGCTGCACACAAACATAAATAAATAAACACACGTGACTCCGTTTTGCAGGAAATCAATAATATATGTAATTGTCATTGTAAAAACCGCCGCTATACGGTTTATTAGTCGATGTGGAATATCGATTATTTTTTCTTGCATGTAAAGATGTTCTTTTCAATTAAGGCGGCCAATAGTTAATTACGAGTGGTGTTGTACAAATGTGTGTGCCTTGCAGCCTACAACAGTACAGTAAGAATATCAAGTGATACGCACGCACACCTGCCGAGCATTACATTCGCTTCGCTCTCGATTTTTGTAGGATTACGCGTACTTTATACCAAACTCCAGACAAAAATTAATATTATTTCTTTTTAAATTATCATTAAGTCTTATAATTTATTGTATCACTTATATCGTTTATCAAATTAAAAAAAATCATCGATTATATTTGAAGTACATAGATTCTGAAACCCCTAACACGTCATGGATGAAGAGTTAGTGAATGACTACTACAAGACTTTAAGGACTAAAATAAGAACGTGAAGACGAAGATAAAGAAACGCGATCGACAACTAGCGATTTCTATTGTCGAAGTACCTATATGTAGTATAAATTCATGGTCGGATTTAGGTGGAACTTTTTAACGAGCTATTAAATTTGATAATAAAAAGTAATCAACTCTCTAAATTTTATAAACAAAAGTATGAAAATGTTTTCATGTGCACATTTTGTTAATTTATAATTAAGTATTTATATTAAATTAATTATTTTGCAGTTTTTTCCCTCCCAATTAAGAATTTAAAAAATTAGTAAATACAATATACATGATGTTAAATTAAATTAAGTTTCTTTACAAATTGTTTTTTTTTTTTCACTTTCTTGAAAGGTAACTCCAGAAGCGTGCTATTTAAATCCGACGATTATAATGAATTTCAGAATATAATCATTGCTGTGGAATCTTTGCCATTTCTAAATTTTATAGAATATCACCGGTTCTGATTTACATCGAATAATTTAATCAAAGAATAGTATAACAGGTAAAACACGCAAGCGTGTAAATAATAATACCCTCCCACCATCATCAGCACGTCCTGAATTTCACAGCTTTAAATAATTTGATCATGATAAATTGGCATTCGGATATTTTGGAGGTTACAGGTAGTGATGGAAACGATTTGTTTTAAATGATCGTTCGTCGTTGTACAAAATATAATTTGTACGTACAAAATTTGTACTTAATAATATTTATTGTTACTGTCACTAAATACTTTTATATTTTAATTATATTTCACTATAATATGTGTATACATTATATTTTTTTTTTTTACCATGACAACGCCGTCTACGTTTTAAGAAAATTAAATAAAAATAAATATTAAGCAATATAGCATTGCTACACGTATTTTTATTGTTTTTCATTAAATTTTATCTAAATACATTTATTTGTCTAATAATAATGTTAAATCCATACAAGTAACATGTTATTACTTTTATTTACTTTTAATTCAAGTACTTAACATTAAATTATCTTGAAATATATACAAACCATTAAAATAATATTTTACCGTCATCCAATCGCTACAGATTTACGTATAATATATATGTCACATTCATATATCGAGCTTTTCAAGAAATTTATACTTATTTTACAAACTTCAACGCTCGATCGTTTTTTTTGTGTAATTTTTATTTATTTATTTTTTTACACTGCTTATTAGTAACTTTTCCTTCGAGAAATAATCATCGAAAACTAGCATTTTTTATTTAATTGAGTATAACAAAATATTAAATATACTAACATTAAGGTGTAAATTAGCAATTTTTTTTTTTTTTTGTTATTTGGACAATGATAATAATAAAGTCTAGAATTGAAGGAATGTTATAAACAATTGATATACCTTAACTAATGCAATTAAAATTTAAAATTTAAGTAAATAATTAATCATCAATCTGCTTAACAAATTTAATATGACATTATAATGAACTTTAATGTTTCACATAATTTTATACACTAAATTTATATCTTAATATTAGTATATTATTTAATTATACCAACACAATATTATTTCCCAAGGGTTACCGTAGAAGTAACTGCCAAGCAGCCATAGTCCTCCATTTATTTTTTAAGTATAAGTATGTCTGCGTATAATTTAGGTACAATATCACATTTATTACGTATATAATCAATTGCCTACACTCAAGTATAATAATTTATAAAATACTACCGTATTAGTATTACCCGACTACGCTCGGATAACAATTATTTGTCTTTCTATCGTTTTCCATATTGCTTTAGTTGAAGTATATAATACAAACATGGTAATATAACAACGGTTAATTTTGCAATTTTTTATTTTTTGATTATGATTATATTTTTGATGTAAACACAACAAGTTTCGACGAATGCTTAAAAGTCAGTGTAAATTTAATATTGTTATGATTGAAATTCGTCTTAACGTGTTTCCATAAAAAAATATGTCCAGAATTAAATAAGTAATCATCTGTAATTGTGTTCACGAGTATTTTTTTTTTTTTTTTTAATATATTTGTAAAAAAATGTATGTGACTGCATATTTTTACTAATTTTATTATTATAATAGAAGTACAATCTGTTTGACTGTAACCAATGATATTCATTAAATTAAATAACAATATACTCGATTTTTATAAGTCATAACTAAATGTACTTACATGGAGGTGTTGATCCACTCTATAGTAACTTATAAGGGGTGAACAAATGAACTTTTAACACCCTCGGCGAATCTCGACGAATTGATTGTTATAACTTAATTGAAACTGTATCAAAGTTTTTGAATATAATGTAGACAAATAATCAAAGATGTATTCGTTTGAAGTATATTAATCAATAGATTTATAGAATAATTTTTTTTCTATACTTATGATAAAAATATTTTTTCATAACCGTTTCAGGAAATTTCACTACCTAATAAATTATTTGAAATGTAATATAGAAGGCTTAATTTTCTGATAACATTTGTTTACCTTACATGAACTTAAATAACCACTAACACGTAAGAATCGAAAATCATGAAATTAATACCTAGGTGTCCATTTTGTGAATATTTCGATTACACTATGTGGATACGACATATAGTTGCGATACTGGTAAGTACACATCATGTAATATATCATTATACAAACTTGTAAGTACCTTGTGGTGCTTATCTACCTATTTTTTTAGTAACATTTACTATTTTTAGTACGAAAACAGCTTAAATTAATTTTTAAAGTATAAATATCTTTTAGCAGCTAGTACTATTTATAATCAGTAATAACTTAATGTAAAATTCGTATATAAATTTTGGTCAATTGTCAACTGTATGAAAAAAAATCCAGATTAGCATAGCAAGACGTTAAACAAGCATGTAAAATATAGTATAAAAAAATTATAGTATAATTAAATTATTCAAACGAAAACAAATGTTCTCACTTATAGGTGGAACTAGAGATTTTTATTTGATTTGGGCCACTTTTCTTGATCAATTCAGATACATGATGCTTATAAATTGTGGGAGGAGGAGGTTACAAATTTTTGATATCATTTTTTAAGAAACTCATTTGTTTTATTTGTATACTCTGTTGTAT